TCCAATTAACACATAAATCAAGTAAATTTCTAAATCGGATGCTATTAAGGCCTTCAATTCGCAAACCGAAATGAAAACATGAATAGATCTTTCTATGTTAACAGATACACACCCACACATAAGGCAACATATGATGCAATATTTCACTTAAATTATTTATTAGGCGTAATCAAGCATGAATTAACGTTAATTATGGGTCAAGGTTGTTACATCCAAACTCTTTCTGGAACATCACCATTTAAAGGATAGGAAGGAGACAAATTGATCACGTCAACCTTTGTCCTTATTACCTCACCCCAAAAGGATCTTGGCAATTTAGCTTGTGAAAGCAAACACCTTGTTTTTTCCACAATGGTACGGTTCATCATCTCGGCAACACTATTTTGTTGAGGAGTCTTCTTAATTGTCTTTTGGTGCCGAATACCTTGGCTGTGACAATACTCATCAAATGGCCCAATGTATTCACCACCATTGTTTGATCGGATGCACTTGAATTTCTGCACTGTTTCTCTTTCAACCATGGCCTGAAAATGCTTAAATACTTCTAAACCTTGATCTTTAGTTTTTAGTATAAAAGCCCAAACTTTCCTTGAATAATCATCAATGAAAGTAACAAAATAAAGTGCATCACTATGTGTTCTAACTTTCAAAGGACCATAAACATCCGAATAAATCAACTCTAAAACATTTTCTTTTCTAGAAGCAATATTTTTATGAAAAGAAACTCTATGTTGTTTACCCACCAAATAATGAACACAAGTTTTAAGATGTGTACCTTTCAAACAGGGTAAAAGCTCTTTCTTAAACAAAACTTGTAGCCCCTTTTCATTCCTATGGCCAAGCTGCTTGTGCCACAATTCGGTAGAAGTATCATCTTCAAGTGCATTGACAACACCTTTACAAATTTTTCCTTGCATCGAATAAAGTGTACGAGTCTTCTTGCACTTAGCTACTACCAAAGAACTCTTTGTGAGCTTCCATATCCATCACTAAATTTGTTGTTGAAGTCTTCATCATCTAGCTTCTCGGTAGAGATCAAATTGAGGCGAATGTCAGGAACATGCCTCACATCTTTAAGCAATAACTTGCAGCCCAAATTTGTTTCCAAGCAAACATCACCTATGCCAATAATCTTGGACAAACCTTCATTACCCAATTGAACAGAACTATAATCTCCTTTGGTGTAGGTAGTGAAGAAATCAACTCGAGAAGTTACATGAAAAGAAGCACCAGAATCAATTATCCAATTACTCTCTTGGCCTACAAAATTGATACAATCATCTTCAGAAACGACCATGAGATCACCATTAGTAGTAACTGCTGTTGTGTCTTATTACTTCTTATCCACATTTTTGTCATGCATTTTCTCCTTGTTCTTGAGCTTTTGGCATTCTCGCTTCACGTGCTCTTTCTCATGGCAATAATAGCACTCAATGTCTTTCTTTGAAAAGAACCATCTTTTGATTTGTCATGGCTTTGATCACAACTATGAAGAGTCTTACTCCTTCCCCTTGTTTTTCTTCTGCTTGTGAGGCCCTAACTATTTGTAATGTTCCCAAATGCTTATAGTTGAAGAATTTCAATAAGAAACCTTGTTTTTCCATTTCTTGCAAATTAAACCCTAGAAATCAAGAACGATTGCATGAGCTAACCGGCAAACCCTAGTCGACTCTGAAAACTTAGGAAAAATTTTAAAACCCTGAATTAATAATTTAGAAATCCTAGAAAAAAAAAATTATTATAAGAGAAAAACCCTAGTTTTCAGTAATTGCAGTTTTAGCCCGGTATCTCGCCTTATGTTGCGAATCGGCACCATGTGGCCCGAATTATTTTCCTACCATTATTTTATTAATTATATGACTTTAACATATGTTTTATTTTAAAATTTAGATTGTACCCTTTTCTTTCTTAATTATTGCATTTTGGCCCTAAAACCTTAATATTTTATTCAATAAAGGTACAACCAATATTTTATTAATTTATACAAAATACCCTCTATATTTTATTAACAAAAAAATCAAATTTTCACATGGGAAAATAGGGTAGCTGGCTGTGGGTAGTGAAAAGGGACCTAGAAGTGTATTTTTTGGCAAATCTTGTGCAAAGATGCAACAAATCTTTGACTAACATTATGCAACAAATCTTTGACCAACATGGAGGAATGGGGGGCATTTATTGTTATATCTTTTTTGTCTCCCAATTAACTAGTAAATAGGATCACTTCTCTTAATCAAGATCAATTAACACAAAACCTAATTTGATCCAATTACAAACCAACCAAACTTGAATAGTTTCTATTGAAAACCAACCAAACCAAACCAACCCTTCTCTCTCCTTCTTGGCCTATAAATACAAGCCTTGCTAGCTATTTTATTTCACTCCATACACACACAACACACATCTGAGAGAGGAGGAAAGGGAGAGCAAGTGAGCTTGAGAGAAAAAGAGAAGAAAAGAGAGCAACAAGTAGGAAAAAGATCTAGCAAACTAAGGTAAATCTCATACACCTCTTCTCTCAATGAATCATCATGTTTTTCCCTTCATAATACATGATAAAAATATATTTCACATGATACTAAGAGTTACTACATTGTTAGATGATGTATGGCTTGAAAATGAAATGTTCATCTTCTTCCTTGCAATTTCCAGCAAGTTTTTCCTCAAGGTTTTTGATTTTATTTCCATAGAAAACCTTCACCAACTCAAAATCTATTTTAAAGGGGTATTAATTGACATGTATAGATGTGAAAATTTTTTCTAAGACCATGGATGTGTTTTTATGACTTTTATTTTTCTAAATACTTGGTGCAAGAACCTGTTTAAAATAGGGAACTTTAAGAAATTCTAGAAAAATATAGAAAAATGATCTCGCGTTCATTTTTATATCAAAATCTTCCTCTGAAGGTTAGCTTTTAAACAAAATTTATTTCAATGAAAATGAATGAGTATTTTAAGAGAAACACCAAATTTTGTAACAGTTGTCAAATTTGGCAGAGTCTGTGTATTTCTTAAATATCTAAAAATCAAAAAGGGTCACCCTACTTCCGAAAAATGATTCTGAAACTAGACTTGATTCTCTACAAATCCTCTAGAAGCCACATTTCTGAAACCCTTAAAAAATATTTTTTCTATATTTATTTTTGAACCGGTGCAGTGCTGGAAATCTGAACAGTATGGTTCTTGTTAATGCTTTTGTGCTATCATGACATATTGTTGTAATATATGTTATACTTCATGCTTGAGTTTTACCTTGAATGGCCTTATTTTGCTCTTACTTGTGCTAACCAGTAATGTGTAATAAACTTAATATGAAAAGGGAAAAACTAAATTGGTTGGTAAAGAGGGTTGACGACCACACTAGTTATACTTCATAAATGATGAGAATGTTAGGTTGATATTAGTAGTGGATTAAAATGAGTAAGTCTTGCGCAACTAGTTGTTTCGGAACCCTCAAATGGAGCGGTTGTATTCAGACCCTAGGTAGTTCGGTGAAAGGAGGGATTTGGGCTAGGTCCATCATTACCGTTTCTTTTGAGGCCCTCGGTTGGCGCTACGCGGTATATAACTGTTGGTAGGCATCCGAGGTAAGGTCTGCAACAAAGCAGCAAAAGAGGGGGCATACCGAATAATCCATGTCCAATTCTTGGAGTTGGGAGAACGAAATCTCTTTGGGAGATTTCTAGACTACTAACAATTAACCGTATAATTTGTGCTATGAACTTAAATGTCATGATCCTTTCCTCTGTCTTTTTGTAAATGTTGTTGTGTATTGGACTGGAAAAAGGGAATGGGGTGTGTGTGCATTTACTGGGTATTCAAAGCTCACGGCGTATCATGCCAAGTGCCGAAGAGGAGCTTATAGCAGGAGACGACGAGCCGAAAACCTTTAAAGACATTTGGCTATCTTAGAAAAGTTAGAAATTTCCCTTTTGATGTTTTGTAAGGCTCATATGAAAATTTAAATTTTCTTTTGGGATGTAATGTTAATGGAACAAGCTTTTGTAATTAAGGATATTTGTAATTATTTTGTTATTATGTACTTATATTCTAACACCAATATAACCCCTGACGTTGCTTATGAGACTTTGTGTCAATGTCTCTTAAGATCTGTCAAAAGGGTAGTGCGCTACCTAAGAAAGCTGGACTTAGAAGGAAGGCTAATTTGACTCCTCCGACGATCTGGGATCTTACTTGGTTATTAGCCATAGGACTCGTTAGTAACTTTCCATTGTCTACAACCCTTAGTGTAGATTTGGGGCTTCACACGGCCTCTCACAACAAATGCTTCTGAATAAGAGGAACCCGCTGATTTTGTTCTAGTTTCTTCATTCAACAAGCTACTAGTGACTTGGCCTATTGTGACAACTCTATCGGGCGCCGAATTACTAACTATCACAACCAAAGTCTCTCAACTTTCGGGCAGAGAACTAAGTAGCATCAAAGCCTGAAACTCATCATCAAAAACAATTTTCATAAAAGCAAGTTTATTGACAATACTCTTTATTTCATTCAGATGTTCCGAAATAGGGCTGCTCTCTTTATATTTTAAATTAACCAACTTACGAAGCAGAAAAGCTTTATTTGTGGCTGATTTCCTAGCATAAAGGCCTTCTAATTTTTTTCATAAATCATGTGCCGAAGTTTCAGTAGCAACATGATGAAACACACTGTCATCAATCCATTGACGGATAACACCAACAGCTTTTTGATTAAGCCTCTTCTATTCCTCATCTTGCATACCCTCGGGTTTGCCACTGTCACCATCAATAGGCCTATACAAATTTTTACAAAATAATAGATCCTCTATTTTAGTTTTCCAAGTTATCCAATTGCTTTCATTGAAGCTAGACATGTGACCCACATCCCCCTCTATTGATTTACATAAATAAATAAACCCAAATAAACCATAAGCTTTGATACCCGTTGTTAGGGAAAATATATGATTCCCCACAAGTAAATCAATTAATGGGAATAAAAATTAATGCGGAAAAATTAAATCAAAAGCAATACAAGAATTTTACGTGGTTCCCTCAATGTGAGATATGTCCACGGGATCGAAATCCGATTCCATTATCAATCAAAGAGTTTCCAAATGATTACAGACGAGACACGAATGGTCTCACAAACCACCCGTAGGTAAATTTCAAATAATCACAAATAAACAAGAGGAAAGACCTCACCAAATAGATGAACAAAAATCTTTCAAAACAGAATTGTAGAAGATCCAAAATAACAACCCAAATCAACACCTTCTGTGCGCTGAAGTTGTCAACAACAAAGCCCTCAAACAATGCTTGAAAACAACCCACCAAATTATGTATGTAGCACCGAGCAGCAGCTATCCCACCAAATTGATCTCACTATATATCGGCTTCGGAACAACAATATAAATATATTATTAAATGTTGGACTTATTTTATCAAAATCCTAGTTGTTATCAAACTGAATTGGATCTCCACAAATTAGATATAATATATAAAAATATATTATAACTAATATCAAACCAAATTAAACTCTTTTAATAAACCAATTGGGTCTCAAACTTCACTAAGGAAATATACCCCAACATAATAAAAGAATGTCATTATTTTTGACAACTCATCTGCAGTTCGAATTGCTGAATTCCAGGAAAAAATCAATAATAATACAATTATTATGATCCAAGGCTGAGGCTGTGTCAAGAATATAATTTATTTGCTAGAAAATTTACCTCTCTCACGGTATAAGATCCTTCCAGCTTTAGTGAAGACAAGCTCAGGGAAGACGGACACTTGTAGAGCAGAGACCAAATCAAGCTCAACAACAGCATCTATTGCAACACACTGTTTGGTAGTTGAAAATAAAATAAATGTTAAAAGGTGGGATGAGGATAATAAAAAATAAGTAAATGGCTATACTTACTCTTGGTGATGGTAGCCGAGAGTTCCATATGATATTTACGGCTTTCTCCAATTCATTCCGCATCCTTTAATTTTCCAGTGGTCTGCAGAGATTCATAAGTTTTTATTAAATAATAAAAATATACTCTATAATAAATCTAGCATTTTTTGCTATAAAATCAATCATGAAAGTTTGACATCTCATAAAAATGTTCTGATAGCTTCCAATGCACCATGGAAAATCAACATCAATAAACATCGCCAATTAATTGACCCAAGATATTGTGAAAGAACACTCGACTTGAATGGAAAAAATAACAAGCATACTTTTTCTTTCCCTTCCTTATTAGACAGTGATTGCTGTAAGCATACAAGAAATTGTGAAAGAACACTCGACTTGAGTAGTCGTAAGTAGCAATATAGAAAAGTGTTAAGGTCAGAAGACCAATTAATCCATGTGCATTGACCCATTGGAAGTGAATTCTATAAGTAGAATGAGAAGATTGAACACAGATTCAAGGCGTAAACCAATCACATAAATTGAAAATTGGTACACAAGAAGGGTAGTTGTTACCGAGGAATATATAGAAAAGTGACGGTTTTAGGCATTAGGCTAAACCTAGAGAGAGTGGGATGCTCTAACGATTCCAACTATCTGTTCATATCAATTAACTAAAGGAAGAAAAGTTAAAGCAATGCACGTGACATTTTTCTACTAATTCTTTTAATTTAATGCCACTTCTACTTATAAGAGCATTTAAAATCCTTTATTAATTTTTTTCATCCAATTTAATTATAAATTTGAGTAAAAAAAATGATTTGATAAGAACTGTTCTAATCCTTTAATCAAATTTTTATCCAAATTTTTTTAAAAAAATTCCCTCTTATCTCATATATTTCTTTTTTCGTCAAATTTGACGGGAAACAAAAAAATCATTCCCATTCCATTCATTAAATGTATATCAAATAAAGGCAGAATTTTTTTTAAATTCTCAATTTAATGAAAAAAAAAATTCTGCCTTTATTTGATATACATTTAATGAATGGAATGGGAATAATTTTTAACAATAATAATAATTCTTATTTATTAAATATGCTGCTAATTGGATTCTTTAAGGGGAACTTACTGATAAGTCCCATGTAGTAAGTTCAAAACCCAGCTAATCCCAAAACAAAATACTTGCACCAATTAGTCCAATACATTTTTAATTGTTACCAAAAATTTTTTTTTTTTTTTTTTTTTTTTTTGGGATTTCACAGTAAACATTTTAAAAGCACAAAACAAGGGCTGAAAATATATCAGAAAACATGAACGAGGGTTGGGTTATTACAGCCGAGGCCAGCAGCATGCCATGCCACAGCCAAGGCAGCCCAGCCAAAGCCAGCAGCATGCCATGCCAAGGGCCAAGGCCAGTAGCATGCCATGCCACGACCAAGGCAGCCCAGCCAAAGCCAGCAGCTTGCCATGCCAAGGCCAAGGCAAGCAGCGTGCCATGCCATGGCCAAGGCAGCCCAGTCCAAGCCAGCAGCATGCCATGCGAAGGCCAAGGCCAGCAGCATGCCATGCCAATGCCAAGGCAACCTAGCCAAAGCCAGCAGCATGCCACGCCAAGGCCAAGGCCAGCAGCATGCCATGCCAGGGCCAAGGCAGCCCAGCCCAAGCCAGCAGCATGCCATGCCAAAGCCAAGGCCAGCAG